GGATGAAGTGCCTCTGGCCATTCCCAGACGGCGCCACCTGAGGCCCGAATACCTCAAGGAAGCTCAAAGCTTGAGGGACCCACGAATCCAGAAATGAATGTGCTATTGCTTCGGCATGTCTTCGATGCGCTGGTGTTCTGTGTGTGTGTGTGTTGTGTTCCCAATTCCTGCTGTGTATCTCCTGTGTAATGCTCTGCTGTCACGTTGTGTACGCTCAGTGGTTCGATTGTCCCCGCCTCCTCCTCCTCGCTCCTCGCTCCTCCTTCCGCGTCCCTCCTGCTCCGCCTCTATATCCTCCTTCTGTACCCTTCCCCCCCCGTCCTTCCCCCTCCTGCCTCCTGCTCCCGCCTCTCCTGCTCCCTCCTCCCTCCTGCCTCTCCCCTTTCCACCCCCCCCCCTCCTGCCTGCCGCTCCTGCCTTCTCTTCGGAGGTGGTTTCTCCGTCGCGTCGCTCCAACCGCCCGCTCCCCGAAAGCCTCGCCCAAAAGTAAGCCGGACCATCCGGCAAGGCAGGCAACGCCGCCCATCTGTAGGGCAGACCCCATTTTAAAGTAAGCCAGACCACCCGCCAGAGCAATCCAGGCCTCCCGAACGTAGACCGGACCTGGCACACAAGTAAGCCAGACCACCAATCACCGCAGGCCTGACCGCCCCAGAGTAGACCACGCCCCGCCAACAAGTAAGCCAGACCACCCATGAAGGCACGCCAAGCCATACAACAATAGACCAGTCTCCACCCACCTGTGAAGCAAACCAGCCATCGTAGCAAGCTTTGCTGCCCGAGCATAGACCCGACCCCGCCCAACAGTAGACCAGACCATCAATGGCAGCAGGCTTTATAAAACGACGCGAAGATCGGGACAAAATCGGATCCGGATAACTCGAAATCTCTGAGAATCGGCGGGTTTGGAGGATGTATTGGGCGCCGCGGCCGCTCCAGAGCGTTCCGGAACGCTCTGAGAGCGCTTCGGAACGCTCTGGAGCGATTTATCCCGATCCTAGCCCTGTTTTACTTTACCGCCCAAACGTAGAGCAGTTCCCTCCCACAGGTAAACTGCACCACCCACTGATAAACCAATCCGGGCCAAATAGCAAAGCAGACCGTCCATCGCATCAAGCTAGGCCTCCCGAACGTTGACCCGACCCCGCCCAACAGTAAAGCAGACCACCGAACAAGGCAAGCTAGACCGCCCAACAGTATGCCAGACCTGTCCCAAAATCAAGCCAGACCACACGTCAAAGAAAACCATGCCACCTAAACGTTGACCCGATTCTGCCCCAAAAGTAAACCAGACCACCCGCCACAACAGGCCTGATCTCCCAATCGTAGACCAGATCCTGCCCAGTAGTAAACCAGACCGTCTACGCAGCACGCTGCGCCTCCCGAAAGTTGACCCGACCCCGCCCAAAAGTGTAACAGACCACCGACCAAGGCAAGTCAGACCACCAAAGAGTACACCAGACCTGTCCCAAAATTAAGCCAGACCACACGTGAATGCAGGCCAGATCACCCAAAAGTTGACCCGATCCTGCCCAACAGTAAACCAGACCTCCCGTCGAAAAAAAGCCAGGTCACCCAGCAAAGCAAGCCAGGCTCCGCCCCAAAGTGCCCGACCACGCATCGCAGCAAGCCTGATCCCAGCAAAGTACTTCGCTGTAGCCGTGTCCGTCCGCGAATAGCAGGGCCGCCCATTGTAGCTGATCGTCGCGAGGGTCAAGTATAGGCAAAGAGGCGCGCGCGCCGCTTCCTCAATTAGCGCGCATGGCGCCGCAGTACAGCGGCGTAGTTCCTCACTTGACGACCGCGATATCTCCAGTTCTTGTTGTTCTTGTTCGCGTTTTCGGTCTCGGGGATTCGTCTCTTGACACTGGGACCGTCGAACGAACTCCTGAGTTGGTGGACTGATTCGAAGGGAGCTCCACATCAGGCCCCAGTGGCAGCGCCCGCATGGCACCACCGCGCACGTTTCGGCACACTCCTCGCAGACTTCGTCGCCTCATATGGAGCTCCACCTTCGGCCTCAATGGCAGCGTCCGCATGGCACCACCGCGGCCGTTCCGGTACACCACTCACACGTTTCGTGGCCCCATATGGAGCTTCACCTAACGCCCCAGTGGCAGTGCCCGCATGGCACCGCCATACCAGTTCAGGCACACACACACACACACACACACCTCACACGTTCCGTGGCCCCATATGGAGCTCCACCTGAGGCTCCAGTAGCATCGTCCGCATGGCACCACCGCGCCCGTTTCGGCACACCCCACACACGCTCCATGGCCCCATTGGGCGCTCTACCTCAGGCTCCAGAGGCAGCGCCCGCATGGCACCGCCGCGCCCATTTCGGCACACTCCTCACACGTTTCGTGGCCCCGCAGGGAATTTCACCTTGGGCTCCAGTGGCAGTTCCCGCATGGCACCGCTGCGCCCATTCCGTCACACCCCTCACAGGTTTTGTGGCACCATAGGGCGCTCCACCGAAGGTACCAGTGGCTGCGCCCGCGTGGCACGCCGCGCCCATTTCGACATTCACACATACACACGCATCACACATTGCTTGACCCCACAGGGAGTTTGATGTAATGCCCCAGTGGCAGCACCCGCATGTCACCGCCACGCCACCCCTCACAGACTTCGTGACCCGATATTAAGCTCCACCTGAGGCTCCAGTGGCAGCGCCCGCATGGCACCACCGCGGCCCTTCCGGCACACACCGCACACGTTCCATGGCTCCATATGCGCTCTACCTCAGGCTCCAGAGGCAGCGCCCGCATGGCAATGCTGCGCCCACTTCGGCACACCTCTCAAACGTTCCGTGGCCCCGTAGGGAATTTCACCTGGGGCTCCAGTGGCAGTTCCCGCATGGCACCGCTGCGCCCGTTCCGTCACACCCCTCACACGTTTCGTGGCACCATAGGGCGCTCTACCGAAGGCACTAGTGGTTGCGCCCGCGTAGCACGCCGCGCCCATGCCGGCACTCACACACACACACACACCTATATCACAAATTGCTTGACCCCATAGGGAGTTTGATGTAAGGCCCCAGTGGCAGCACCCGCATGTCACCGCCACGCCCGTTTCGGCACACCCCTCACAGGCTTCGTGGCCCCATATGGAGCTCCACCTGAGGCTCCAGTAGCAGCGCCCGCATGGCACCACCGCGGCCGTTCCGGCACACCCCTCACAAGTTTCTTGGCCCCATCGGGCCACAGGGAGGATCCCTTAACGCCCAGTGGCACCGCCCGCATGGCACCGTCGCGCCCATTCCGTCACACCCCTCACACGTTCCGCGGCCCCACATGGAGTTCCATCGAAGACGATACTGACAACCGCGGTATTCACAACTGCATATGGTCCTTCGCCAGAGTCATTTCCGAAGCGTGACGCCGCGGCATGCTTCCTCTTGCCGGCCATCTTTTGGTCCGTCGCGGAGCGGGGCACTCGTGAAATTCTTCTCCTTGGAGCAGGTCATTGGCACGCGTGTTGGGCAGTGGCCTTGAAGGGGTATGTGATCAATCGAATCCCCTTCTGCCCCATCCACCCTCCCACCCCCTCCTCCTTTTCGTCCTTCTCCTCGGCCTCCTCCTCCTCCCCCTCCTCCCTCCAACCCCCCACGGCCACATGAGAAATGGGGGGTGGGATAATAGAGATGGAGGAGAAAAAAGAGCAAAGGAAGAGGAGAGAATGAGGGGGAGAACGAGGAGGGGGAGGAGGAGGAGGAGGGGGAGGAGGAGGAGGAGGAGGAGGAGGAGGAGGAGGAGGAGGAGGAGGAGGAGGAGGCGGAGGAGGAGGAGGAGGAGGAGGAGGAGGAGGAGGGGGAGTGAGAGGGCCAGCAGGAGGAGGAGGAGGAGGACGACGACGACGAGGACGACCGACGGCCCACAAGGAGGCTTCCTCGAGCACTGGGCTCGTGAAAAACGAGGCGAAGGCGAACGCCGCCACGGCCGAGGACCGGAAAGCCCTTTCTGACTCTTACGAGGCGGGAGTGGCATGGCTTTGAAGCGCCCCCCCTCGCCTTCGCAAGCCCTGCACCTGCCAAGGCGATGGAGGAGGAGGAGGAGGAGGAGGAGGAGGAGGACCAGGACGAGGAGGATGAGGAGGTGGAGGAGGAGGACTAGGAGGAGGAGGAGGAGGATGAGGAGATGGAGGAGGAGGACTAGGAGGAGGAGGAGAAGGAGGAGGAGGAGGACGAGGACTTGGAGGAGGAGGAGGAGGAGGAGGAGGAGGAGGAGCTGGAGGTGGAGGGGGGACATCGACCTCCCATCGCCCCTTCGTCGCCGATCGGGGTCTGGGTGCCTCGCCCTGCCCTGGGGAGATGCGGTTCGGGCGCCCCCCCCCCCCTCGAGCTGGTCGTCCCCCCCTCACCTGGGGACGCAGCACTTGGGCTACCCTCAAGCAGTGCCGAAGCGTCCTGGCTCGCCTATAGTTCTACCAAGCAATGTTCTAAGAACCTTTTTGTGGTTTCCACGAGATGTTCTCAGAACATTTCTGGCGGAGTCTGTCTTGTTGTATCACATCGGGTTTATGGTCTAAGAGCATTGCTTTTGTTATTAGAACACTTTTGGGTTCTAAGAACATTTCGTGGTAGGACTACAGGAATGCCGGGACGGTCGGTCCCTGCTCAATACCCGTGGCATATTTGCTTCTGCGACCCGCCCATCCATGGGCACAGCTCCCCACCCTGCATCCTCGTTCTGGGTTTGACTGTAGGAATCCCTCTGGCCCTCTAGAGCCCAGACGCTGAGGTTGCAGTTTGGCTCAGGAAGGGTCTCCGTCGTCCGCCCTCTATCGCTCCTCGTGCAACCAGGCGCTGCTAGGGCTAAAAAGTGGCATCATTTCCTATTGTTTCAGCGTTTATTCTGGTATTCCTTCGCTGCACCTTCCACCCTCACTGTGGGCACTGACCGTAATATAATACAGGATGACGATCAAGAAATGCTCGGAGGAAGCCGTCACGAAGCAGCAACTTGGGCGACGATTAATACGTTGGGTTCCAGGGGTGCCTGTGGTGGTGGTCGTTGTCATCATCGTCATTGAGGCTCTCTGGTCGTCCTCTCCACAATCTCTGCCAGCGGCAGAAAGCGATTTCGTTCACCGCACCCCCCGTGTTTATCCATTGACCGCCTGTCTGTACAGGTTGTGTGTGCTGTTTCCATCGCCGGGTGGGGGTCCCCCCCCTCTCGTTCCCCCTCACTATGTCGGCGGCGTTCAGCGGCTGGGCTCCGAGGGGCGAGGCCTTGAGGGCGAGTGGTCTCAGGCTTGGCGGCATCTACCGGTGGGGCGGCGAGAGGGTGGCGACATTTTGAGATTGCGAGGGGTGGGAGGGCCGCTTAGAAGGCGGGTGCTTTCTCAGCGTGTCCCGGTTCCGTTCGGTTCGTTCCGGTTCGGGGGAAATTGGTTCGGTTCAGTACGGTTCCGGTGCCGGTTCCGTTTCAGCCGGTTCCATTTCGTTTTTCGGTTCTTGTTGATGACGTGTGCGCGTGTGCGTCTACATGATCATATGGAGGTGTTTGAGGTTCAGTTCAACCAGAAGTCAGGAGGAACCCTGGGGCCAGGGGAGCCAGTGGGCCCAGCCACCGGACGAGCCAGGGGAGCCACTGGGCCCAGACGTTACGCATGGTGCCCACACATGGTGCCTTCGACGGACCAGTCGACACCATCGTGCCCCCTGGACCAGGGGGCTCTGGCGACAGCGGGCGATTCCTCAGCGCCAGGATAGAGAACGCTTGGATTACGGTCTGGGACTGCGCACCACTCACTCCTGGCATGGGTCTCGAATGACAACTGGGAAGGCAAGGGCGCCGCCCGCGCCCTCACCGGGCGCGCGCAGGATGGTGGGGGCCCAGCCCCGGCCGCCGTCCCCTGTTCGGCCCTGGAGGCCCCGAGGACCGACCCCTGGAAACCCAAAGCGCACTTTCGAACCGCATGGGACCCAAAATGCGATTTGAGCTCTTCCGCCGCCCGTCCGTCCCCAGTGCAGCCCTGGAGGCCCCGGAAACCATTTGGAGGCCCAAAGCGCATGTTCGAACCGTCCGATTTGATTTGAGCTTTTCCGCCGCCCTGCCATCCCCAGAGCAGCCTTGCAGGCTCCGAAGCCACCTGGAGGCCCAAAACGCATTGTCGAACCGTCAAAAAGTGCGATTTGAGTTTTTCCGCCACACTTCCGCCCCCAGTTCGGCCCTGGACAAGCAGCAAAATAGGACGAGGGAACTCGGGGGCGCAGGGGAGGAGTTGGGAGCGGGTGGGATGGACCTAGCGCAAGAGTGGGCGCTCGCATCGGGTAGTTCCCAAGGGTCCACCTCCACGACCGGTTGCTGGTTCGGTTCCGGGTTCGGGCCCGGTTCGGTTCCACCGCCTCTGGTTCGGCTTTGTTTCGGTTCGCGTCGGGTTTCTGACGGGTTCTGGTCCCGTCGATTCTCCCTCGGTCGGTTCGGTTCTGCGGTTCGCGGTTCGGTTCAGTTGTTCGCTGTTTCTGAGAAAGGGGTCACGAGATGTTTCAGACGCCTTCGGAAAAGCCCCCAGCCGCCTTACCCCCCCCAGTTATTTTTGGCCGCCTTCTTAGAAGCCGCCGCGTTTTCTTCGAAGGACGAGTGGCCTCAAACAGTGAAGGTTCAACTGGGATCCTTCTCCTGGCCAAGTTATAGGTTCCCCGATTGCCCAGGACGACCCTCTGGCAGCTGAAGACTGCCCAGAGGCCTCCAAGACAGCACCAAGACAACCCAAGAAACCCTTCAAGAGGGCCCCCAAACCGGCCCACAGGGCTCCAAGACAGACCCAAGAGCATGAGCAGCAGTTGGAGGAGATACAGCTGGAGGAGGACGAGACGGAGGAGGAAGACGACGGCGACGGTGACGCAGGATCCGGGGTGGACAACCCCCACCCTGATACGTCGATTATTGACTTGTCCGTTTTCGGTTCTCGAGAAGGCGCCTTGGCCGTCATGTTCCAGGCTTGCGCCCGCCAGGTTGGGCCCGAGGTCGTTTTCACTAAGTCACGCTTTACTACAGGGGGACGCTGTCCATCCCCGAGGAGAGGAGAAGAAACTGAACGCGGAGGAGGAGGAGGAGGAGCAAGAGGGGGAACATGACGAGGGGAGAATGCAGGCGCCACGATCCAAGTCCATCTAAGCTCGCCTGACGTTTCCAAAGGGGGGGGTGGAGGAGCAGCAGGAGGCGTGGAACGAGCAGGAGGACGGAGCAGGGACCGCACGGGGCACGGACCAGGGTCTGCATCCGCCCCAGAGATTCGCCCCCACGGGCAGTGCCCATTCCGATCCGCTCTGTCCGAGTCGGTGCCGATTCCTGCCGCCCCGGCCCGATCCGAGTTCGATGTTCTTCCGTCGATCCGGAGCGGCCCGATGCTCGCACGGTGCCGTTGTGCATCATGGCGCAGCCGCCCTGGTTCGATTGCATTTTCCGTGCCGAGGCAGCCCGATCCGACTCACATTCCCACGCGATGTTGACTGATCCTGACAAGTGGTCGGGAATTTCAAACAAACAACATTCCCTGGCCATTTAAGGTCATGTCGGTTTGGGCTCAAGGGTTTTCTCCAGCGTGCGCATTGTGTCATAATTAACGCATCGCGTTGTACTGTACTATAGCCATATTGCGAAACTTGGCCACACGCATTGTATCATAATGCAGGCGCTACAGTATCTAGAGCGGCCATGCCTGCTCGGCGAGGCCATCCAGCCAACCAAACTTGCCAGTAATGACAATTACTGCAGGTACTGTTGGCTCGACGACGACTCCAACGCCACAGGTGCTCGGTATCGTTGAACCCATCCCCATCCCCATCCCCATCCTTTCGAGACACCCGCCAAATTGCCCCCCCCCAGCTGGGGTATGGCCTTCGAAGTTCGAAGGGAACGGCCCATATCCCCTTCTAGGGGGGGTCAGTCGGCAAGTGGGGCCCAGGCTGCGCCGCTGGGAATGGGGGTCGGATACACGATGCCCAGAAGCCGGGCGAAGGCTGGCAAACCCGTGGCTGCTAAAACGGAGCTCCGGGATGTTTTTCCTTCCGGGAAGCAACTCGTTTATCATTGCATGCGCTGAATTTGATTCCGGGAACCGGTTTTTTTCCTTCCGGGACGACTGTTTTAGCAGCCACGGATTTGCCAGCCCTCGCCCAGCTTCCAAGATGCTCAGGTGTGACCACCGTCTGCGAGGCGGCAGGAGCGCGCTGAGCTCTCCTCGCTCCTCCTCCTCGCTCCTCCTCCTCATCATCCTCCTCCTCTTCCTCCTCCTCCTCCTCCTCGCTCCTTCTCGCTCCTCCTCGCTCCTCCTCGCTCCTCCTCCTCCTCCTCCTCCTCCTCCTCCTCCTCCTCCTCCTCCTCCTCCTCCTCCTCCTCCTCCTCGGCGGGCGCGGCGCCAGGCCCTCGCGAGCCGCTGGCTGGCCTCCCAGGAGCTGGACGAGGCTCACCCCCCGCTCTGCCCCTGCTGCACGGCCGTTCAGGTCTTGGCGCCGGGCCGCCGGGGCGGGGCCCCGCCGCGGGGCCCGAGCCGGTGTTGACGGGCTCGTTTTCCACCACCGCTGCCATAGGTAGGAGGAGGAGGAGGAGGAGGAGGAGGAGAAGGAGGAGGAGGAGGCGAGAGGAGGAGGAGGAGGCGAGAGGAGGAGGAGGCGAGAGGAGGAGGAGGAGGAGGAGGAGGAGGAGGAGGAAAGTAGAGGAGGAGGCGGAAGAGGAGGAGGACCTCCTCATCCCTCCTTTCCCCCGTCCTACACTTGGTAGGTGGTGGAACATTTGCCCATGAGGTGTTGTCGCTCGCCGCCGCGGTCGCGGCCGCGCGGTGCGCTGAGCAGCCTGCTGCCGGCGCAGCGCGGCGCGGCCCTGCAGCCACGAAGCTGTCGCTGTGAGGCGCGGGCGTCCGCGGGGCGGCGGGCGCGCGGCGGGAGCCCCGGGGCGAGGGGGCGGCGAGGGGGCGGAGGGCAGGAGCGGCGGCGGCCCCGGAGTCACGACGGGCCCCCCCTGGGGTCCGACCGGCACGACGGCAGCACCCCACCCCTTGCCCTGGCATCGCTCGGACGTGTGCAGTCTTCCGTCGGCGAGGACCATCGAGGAGCATCCTTGATCATTCGGCGAAAAAGCCGCGCACGAAACCGACAAAAACACAGGGAATGGACGTCCGAGCGATGGCCAGTTGCCCATCGTCCTCATGCTCCTGCGCCTGGTACGGCTGCGGGTCGCGCCCGGGCAGCCCCTCCCCCAGGCAGCGCCGGGCTGTCCTCGGCCGTCCCCCCGAGGAGTCCAGGGCGGTCTCGGCACCCTGGCGCCGTCTCTGGCGGCTGCGCCCCTGGGGCGCGAAACGCCCCAGGGCCGGGGTGTTGAGACCGCCCCGGGCGAACGGACGTGAACGATGAAAGAGATACCCCCTCCCGTCTGGGGGGGTCGCCTTCCATCAGAGCGTGAATTACCTACCCCGCTTTCGCTTCCAGGCAATACCAAGTCATACCACGCGCCCCCTCGTCAAGCGGCCTGACCAGTACAGGCCGTAGTTTGGCATCGCTTGGTATCTCTTGGAAGCGAGGGTGGTCAAAAGCGAGGTATGTTTGTTTGCCCCCTGTACTACTGTGCAGCGCAGATGAGTAGTATTGGGGGGGCGAAGCTGTTTTTCGGGTCGACCCCCACTAGATTTGTTGAGTGGCGTCGCGCTCGCCGTAGCCATCCCGTCGGTTGCCGTCTTCCGTCGTCGTCATCCTGTCCTCGTCATCGCCGTCGGCATCGTCGTCGTCTTTCCCCATGACCGCAAGACGCCTACGCAGCTCCCGCCCCCTTTCCCCATCCTGCCATCCGCAAGGGGCCGTCGCCGTCGCCGTCGCCGTCGTCGTCTTCCCAAGGGAGTGCAAGACGCCTACGCGCCTTGATGGTGCCGCTTCCATGCGGCTCCTTAGTCTCCTCATCATCCATCTCATCCTGCCCTCCTGAACCGTTTGCAGTCGACTCCTTCTCGGGCAGGGCGTCCACTTGCCAGCGCGACTATTTGAATGCGCGGCTTTGTCGGAGGCTGTGGGATGCTCGGCCGCGGGGATAGACGGCGTCGCCCCGCGCAGCGCCCGCGGTCAGTTTTCTTTCACGGCGTGCTACAAGGAGTGGCGAGCTGACCTAATTGCCCTGATTTTTTTGTTGACTCTGTGCAGTCCTCGACTGCGAGGGCTACAAGGAGTTCGGCGTTGATGGTGCCGCTTCCATACGTCTCCTTAATATCATCATCCATCTCCTCCTGCCCTCCTGAACCTTCTGCCGTCGGCTCCTTCTCGGGCAGGGCGTCCAGTTTGAAGTTCCAAAGCGACTCTTTGAACGCGAGGCTTTTTCTGATGCCGTGGAATGCTCGGCCGCGGGGATGGACGGCGTCGCCTTGCGCAGCGCCGCGCCCGCGGTCAGTTTTCTTTCACGGCGTGCTACAAGGATTGGCGAGCTGACCTAATTGCCCTGATTTGTTTGTTGACTCTGTACAGTCATGGGCTGCGCGAGCTACAAGGAGTTCGGCGTTGATGGTGCCGCTTCCGTACGTATCCTTAATCTCATCATCCATCTCCTCCTGCCCTCCTGAACCTTCTGCCGTCGGCTCCTTCTCGGGCAGGGCGTCCAGTTTGAAGTTTCAAAGCGACTCTTTGAACGCGAGGCTTTTCTGATGCCGTGAAATGCTCGGCCGCGGGGATAGACGACGTCGCCTTGCGCAGCGCAGCGCCCGTGGTCAGTTTTCTTTCACGGCTCGGTTGTTCATAAGATGGGGCGTAGGGTGCAGCTGCGTGCAGCCGCCAGCGCGAGCCAGGAGCAAACCAGAACACTTGGAATCCGTAGCAACCTCACCGATGAGCTGGCAGTGTGAAGGCTGCGGGGCACACCACTCACACGCTTCGTGGCCCCATGTGGAGCTCCACCTAACGCCCCAGTGGCAGTGCCTTCATGGCACCGCCATACCAGTTCAGGCACACACACACACACCTCACACGTTCCGCGGCCCCATAGGAAGCTCCACCTGACGCTCCAGCAGCATCGTCCGCATGGCACCACCGCGCCCGTTCCGGCACACCCCACACACGTTCCATGGCTCCATTGGGCCCTCTACCTCAGGCTCCAGAGGCAGTTGCATGACACCGCCGCGCCCACTTTGGTACACTCCTCACACGTTCCGTGGCCCCGTAGGGAATTTCACCTAGGGCTCCAGTGGCAGTTCCCGCATGGCACCGCTGCGCCCGTTCCGTCACACCCCTCACACGTTTTGTGGCACCATAGGGCGCTCCACCGAAGTCAGCAGTGGCTGCGCCCACGTAGCACTCCGCGCCCATGCTGGCACACACACACACACGCACGCACGCACGCACACACACACACGCACGCACGCACGCACGCACGCACGCACGCACGCACGCACGCACGCACGCACGCACGCACGCACGCACGCACACACACACACACACAACACACACACACACCACACACACACACAAACGCACGCACACACACACACACACACCACACACACACACACACATCACACACTGCTTGACCCCATAGGGAGTTTGATGTAAGGCGCCAGTGGCAGCACCCGCAAGTCACCGCCACGCCCCTTTCGGCACGCCCCTTCGCAGGCTCCGTGACCCCATGTGGAGCTCCACCTGAGGCTCCAGTCGCGGCGCCCGCACGGCACCGCCGCGGCCGTTGCGGCACACCCCGCACGAGTTTCGTGGCCCCATCTGGCCACAGGGAGCCTCCCTGAACGCCCAGTGGCAGCGCCCGCATGGCACCGTCGCGCCCACTTCGTCACCACCCCTCACACGTTCCGCGGCCCCACAGGGAGTTCCACCGAAGACGATACTGACAACCGCGGCATTCACAACTGCATATGTCTGGGTCCTTCGCCAGAATCATTTCCCCAGCTTGACGCCGCGGCATGCTTCCTCTTGCCGGCCATCTTTTGGTCCGTCGCGGAGCGGGGCACTCGTGAAACTTTTCTCCTTGGAGCAGGTCATTGGCACGCGTGTTGGGCAGTTGCCTTGAAGGGGGATGTGATCAATTGAATCCCCTTCTGCCCCATCCACCCTCCCACCCCCTCCTCCTTTTCGTCCTTCTCCTCGGCCTCCTCCTCCCCCTCCTCCCTCCCACCCCCCACGGCCACATGAGAAATGGGGGGTGGGATAAAGGAGATGGAAGAGAAAAATGAGCAAAGGGAGAGGAGAGACGGAGGGGGAGAGCGAGGAGGGGGAGGAGGAGGAGGAGGAGGAGGAGGAGGAGGAGGAGGAGGAGGAGGAGGAGGAGGAGGAGGAGGAGGAGGAGGAGGAGGAGGAGGAGGAGAGGAGGAGAGGAGGAGGTGGAGGAGGAGGAGGAGGAGGAGGAGGAGGAGGAGGAGGGGAGGGGGGAGGGGGAGGGGGAGGGGGAGGGCCAGGAGGAGGAGGAAAAGGACGACGACGACTAGGACGACCGACGGCCCAAAAGGAGGCTCCCTCGAGCACTGGGCTCGTGAAAAACGAGGCGAAGGCGAACGCCGCCACGGCCGAGGACTGGACCGCCCTGTCTGACTCTTAGGAGGCGGGAGTGGCATGGCTTTGAAGCGCCCCCCCCCTCGCTTCCGCAAGCCCTGCACCTGCCAAGGCGATGGAGGAGGAGGACAAGGAGGAGGAGGAGGACGACGAGGAGGACGAGGAGGGGGAGGAGGAGGAGGACATTTGCATTTCTGTAGGGGGAAATCCATGAAGTACGTCAGGGAGGCGACCGACGGAGGGCCACTACAGCAGGCTGTGAAAAGGCGGGCCAAGAAGCTCCTCATCCTGATCAAGGAAAACCCCACCCTGCACATGACAGCCGAAACCATCCAGCAGGCGTACAGCGAAACGTATCAGCATCACTACCTCGCGCACCACACTGACGGGAACGTCGACCACACGACATTCTTCAACATCGTAAAACCGTGGATCCACACGATTCGAAAATGCATCGTCAGAATGATCGACAAGGACCCCGACCACTTCTTGCAAGATCAGGCGCAGCTAGCTATGTTGGCCAAAGAACGAGGCGACTCCTTCACCAAGTGGAAGTACACCAAGAAACCGCTCATTTTCGGCGGAAGGAAAAGACTGAGAAAGAGAGCGTGCCCCATGATGCTCTCCACGGACGGCGACGCTCTTGATAGCACGGCAAAGTAAAGCCACAGAAGCCACAAAGCATTTCGGCAGCAACGAGGCGGCGGAGATCATGACGCAGCGGCAGGTGGTCGACCAATGCAATCACACCCACCAGCCCGACACCAGCCACATCAGCAGACGCATAGACAACTTCACCAGCATCTACGAGCTTGGGGACATGCTAGCGAAAGCCAAGCCTTACCGCGCTCCTGGGCCCGACGGCATCACCGACGATTTGGCGAAGGCCGCGCCACGAGAGGTAGCGCGACACATGCATCCCGTCATCACCAAGGCCGCGCTCTACTGCAGGGAAAGCGTCGCCCACAAAGAGTCACGGATGACTTATTTCTGGCAGGGCAAAGGAGCACAGGGGGCATTCAAAAACCATCGATCCACCACGCTCGCCAACACTGTCATCAAACACCACTGCCGCTACATCAGGCAGTGCATGAAAGATCTCATTCCCGACATGATGTGTTCCACACAGACAGGAGGCAGGCAGCATGAGGTTGCTCTTCGACGCCTTCGAATCGCTTCAGAACGACCTTGTCATCATCATGATTGACCTCAAAGCTGTTTCATAAGGTGATCAACAAGCTCGTCTACAGCATGGAACCCAGCGAAGAGCAGACCAGTGACATCCTCGACCACGTCGATATCCCCGATCGATGATCCCAGCCATCACCAAGCTGATGGCCGACAACGGAATCGTCAACCGGCACGTGGACAACCAGCACATCTTCCAGATGCTCATCGAATCACACAAAGAGACGTGGGTTTTCGCACACCTGGACGCTGCCTGTGCTGCCCCCAGGCTGGGGGCGAGGCCTGGAGTGCCGACTGCGGACTTGCCCTTCAACGCACTCATGGCCGACGTCACTCGCGAATGCCACCAACTCGCTGCGCGGGACGGCGTCGTCGCACCGATGCCTCCAGCACCTCGGCATTTTCAGGCCGGGCCACCACGGGGGGGTCATCATATTAAGAATTTGCAACATCGCCGTCGTCATCATCATCGTCACCACCACCACCTATAACCATCGCCGTCATCACATCACTAGCAGCAATCATCATCGTCAGCATCATCATCAGCGGTTTCGGCTCTCGGACGCGATCACTTTGCTTTTCGCGCGCCCCCCCCCCCCCCCCCCCCCCCCCGAACCATCACAACAAGCGGCCGCCATGACGGGCAAGAGGCCAGGTGTGGCAGCTCAGGCCCGGCCACCGGCGCAGAAACCCAGCCCGCCTGTCGCTGCGCCCGCCGCTGCCTCTGGCGCGCCGCCTCTCGCTCAGGCACCCGCGGCCCCGCTGCGCACCACGCAACTCCTGGAGACGGTGAGCGCGTCGAGGCAGCCCGCTCAGCTCACGGAGTGGGCGCGCCAAGTGAAGAACTACGTCGACCATGCTTCGCGCGGTTTCTGGCAGGAGCGCCAGCGCGAGCTGCCCTTCGCGTTGCCGCAGAAGTGCTTTATGATTCCGCCGTTGGCCATCGCTCAAGCTGCCTCCGGCGCAAACCTCGCTGCGCTTCGCGAGGCGATGGACTACGACAACCTGATTGCGAGCTTCTCCCGGGCCAAGCAGTGCGAGGCAGCGGGGACGGCGAGGGCGTCGTATCCGATTTGCTCGGACATCGATGACGTCTGCGCGAGCCAGCTGGAGGGCGCCATGGGCGCGCGGTCGGAGGAGACGCACCGCCTCTCTTCCAGTCACGCGCCTTCGCGGCGCCTCTCCTTCGACGCGCCTCTCCCAGTCTGGGTGGTTGACGCCGAGGTCGCCCAGCGCGATCAGCCTGGCAAGCCTGGGGCTTGCGCGATCGAGCCACCGCGCTCGCGGGGCGCGCGGCGGTGATCACGTGGTGCTCTGCTATGGGCGAGGCGCTCCAGCAGTCCAACGATGACCGCGTGTGGCATCTGTTTAACGCCGCTTTGTCCGTTCCCTCCAGGACGCGCGCGCTGCCCGATGGTGACGCGACGCACGTGGCCGCCCCGGTCGTTTCACAGGCGACGTTCGCTTCGCGCGCTGCCTCTGGCGCATATTCCATCTGGGGGTTCGCAGACAAAGCGCGCCGCTTGACCAGCGCGGCGCGCCGGTCGTCGATGCCAGTCGCCGAGGGCGGCGACGACGAGGAGGGGGGCGAGGCTGAGGGGAGCTCGGACTCGAACTAGACGGTTGCCAGAGATGCTGCTTCCGGCGCGCCGCGGCGCTGTCATTGGCGCGCCACGCGCCACATGGGAGAGCATTCGAGTTGAGCGGAGGAGCGCTCGAGTGCGAGAGGTGGCCAGCGGCGCCGGCTCTGGCGCGTCTGTTATCGCAGAGGTTTCTCGGCGTTCCGCGGCGCGCGCCGCCGCGTGCGCTGCGCATTCGTGGAGGGCCTGGTTCGCTCGCTCAGCCGGCGATGCGTCTGCCGACGATGATTTTTTGGCCGCGCTTGACATGCGCTTGCGGAAACGCTCGGTTGGGAGAAGACGTTCGCAATCTTCGTTGTCATCGTCGTGGCCAGCGACCATGGTTGCCGTCATCGCCGCCGTCGCCGTTGCCAGCGCCAGGTCGCGGTCGCGATCCTCGTCGTTGCCGCCGCCATCAGCGCCGCCACTTTCAGCAGGGCCATCCCAAAAGTAACCAACCACAAAACCAAAATTGAACCGGGCCACCAAAGACCAAACAAGAATACAATTGGGCCACCCCACAAGTAAACAGGACCACCCGGAAAGTTGACAGGACCACCCCAAAGTAAACAGGGCCACGTGAAAACGAAACAGGACCACGGAGAAACTAAACAGGATCACCCCAAAGAGTAACCAGGACCACGAGAGAAGTAAACAGGACCACGGATAAATCAAACAGGGCCACGTGAACACTAAACAGTACCGCGCAACAACTAAACGGGGCCACGAAGAAACTAAATCGGACCACTTTTGAAACAAAACAAGTCCACGCGAGGAGTAAACAGGACCAGAAAAAGTGAACAGGACAGCAGAGAAACTAAACAGGACGACCGAAACACGTGAACAGGACCACGAGAAAACTAAACGGGACCACGGAGAAACTGGACAGGACCACCGAGAAACGAAACAGGACCACGAGAAAAAAGTAAACGGGACCGCGCAAAACCAGCAAAGTGGACCACGCAACAAGTAAGAAGCATACAGAGAAACGAAACATGATCACACCACAAAGCACACAAAACCACGCAACAACAAATCAGGACCACGAAGAGACTAAACAGAGCCACCCACAACAAGTGAACAGGACCACGCACGCGCCTAACAAGACCAGGAGCACTGGACGGGGCCACGCAGAAACTCAACGGGACCAACCCACCAAGGAAGCATAATCACCAGACAACCACACAGAACCACGTAGAGACTAAACAGGACCACCGCAAAATGCAAACACACGGCCGCGTAAAAAAAGTAAACATGACCAGGGGAAAACCGAACAGGACCACGGAGGAATCAAACACGACCACCCGAAAAAGTTACCAGGACCACGCCAACAGGTAAACAGGGCCAGGGGAGAAACTAAACAGGATCAACCCAACGAGGAAAGAGGATCACGCAAAACAAACTAAACAGGATCACGCAGCGACTGCACAGGGCCGCCCAAAACAGAACGCTGGACCACAAAAAAACACTGAGAAACTACAGAGCACCACCCAAAAACGTAAACATGACCACCAACACCGTAAACAGGACCAGTAGAACATTAAACATGACCGCAGAGAAACTAAACGGGACCAGAGGCAAACTAAGCAGGGCCCCCAGAAAACGCGAAGAGGACCACGCCAAAAAAAGTAAATGGGACCAGGGAGAAAGTAGGCAGGACCAACCCAAACAGGAAACATGACTTTGCAAGAAATACACAGGTCCACAGGGCTGGTAAACAGGACCACCACAGAGACACAAACAGGACCAGGAGGAAACTAAAGAGAACAAGAAAACTAAACAGGACCAGTCGAAAAAAAAAAAAAAAGTAATCAGGACCACGCAAAAAAAACAACTTGGACCATGAGCAAACTACACAGGACCACAGGGAAACTGAGCAGGACCACCCCAGAATTCATGTAGGGCCAGGGTGAAAGTAGACAGGACCACAGACAACTAAACATGACCACCCAAAAAAGCAACGTGACCACGCGAAAGTAGACAGGGCCTGGGGACAACTAAACAGGAACACAGAGGAACTAGACAGGACCACGCGAACAGGCAAATAATACCGCGCAAATAGATAACAGGACCAGATGAAAACTAAGCAGGGCCACGGAGAAAGTAAACAGGACCGCCCCAAAAATGGCAGCAGGACCACGACGAATCTAAACAGGGCCAGGAGAAACCTAAACAGGATCAGGAACAGGACAAAACAGGGCCACCCCAAAAA